AAATGCTGAAATGTTTACATGAGTGGATTCAAATTATACATTTTGTACACCATTCTCAAATTGACACCAAAATTGAGATATAATAGAAAAATGCAAATATATTGTTTCCATAATTGTGTATCTGATTTATTGAGCAGAAACGAATTCATTTCACTGGTGAATACATCCTTCTGGAAGAAAATGATAGTTGGGATGAAAACAATTTTTGGATGAGACTCCATTCATAGAAAACAAGGGAGTTGAGGTTTAGCATTTTGTATATCATCAATAACTTGAATAATTTTCGTATATCCTTGGAAAGATATGAAACAACATTTTATAGAATGTTGTTTCATATACATACATACAAAACTTAGTTTTGTTTGGAAGTGTATCGACGGCACATAATAATTGCTGCACGTTGCATAAAGTATTCAAATTATGTATGGAATTTCAAAAAAAAAACATTGGAGGATAGTTTTCCAAAATAATGTTATTTTCCGAATGCATCCGAAAGATTCATTTGGATTTCATATATAACGAGCAATGATTTATTCTTGTATGTATATTACCGTTATCTGCGGGACGTATGTTTTGGGACGTTATACAGTGTGTGAAAACCAAATGAACTAAATTCATTTCGGTTACTGTACATATTAAAGAATATCCCGAAACACGTTGAATTTCAATTATAATTTGACATTCTCTAACGTAAAAATCCCACCCCTACCTTCAACCCCCTTCAAATGATAGGTAACACCCCTCATTTTCCAAATGAGAAGTATAGGTTTGTGATATATCGTTTGGAATGTCTATTCATTCTTCATTCAAAAATTTTATAGCTTGCAAGTTTATTGCAACAATTAGGATAAAATGGATAAAAATCATGTGGTTACCAAAATTCGATAAAATACATTCAAAAACTGAAATGTAATGCAAAACGCAATAAAATGTGGATTACGAAAAAGAACTATGGATGTTAACGAAGCAGATGTTCGAAACGTTCACCGCGAACGTCTTGGTAACATCCTAATCCCAAATAAAAGTGTCTTGTAACATTATTTAACATATCAGGCGTGACCCACCTGATCGCAAGCGTTATTCGTTCTTTCAGGTCATTCAAATCTGAAGGTTCAGTTTCTTACACATTGCTCTTTACATATCTCTATAAAAAAATCGAATGATGAAAGATCAGATGATCGCGCTGGCCATTCAAACGATCCTCGTCTTCCTATCCACCGATTGGGAAATGTTGTATCGAGGTATTGCCGGACATTAACATGGTAATGTGGTGGTGCTCCATCCTGCTGAAACCATATCGTATTCACTGGAATTTGAGGGTTTCCTGAATCAGGATATAAATTTGATAAACAGGGAATGACATTATTTTGAAGTAGTGCCAAAAAATTATCGCCATTCAAGTTGCCTTCGAAGAAAAAGGGACCAATGATACGGTTTTCTGTAATCCCTGCCCAGACATAGGATATGATTCAGGTTATGTTATATTTCTACAACATCGAAAACATCGTTATGATGCTGTCTATCATTTTCGAAACGAAAAATTGATATTTCTTCAATATGCAGAAGAAAATGTTTACCGGTGAAATTTTGTTGACATATATGCAATGTCATAGTTCTCATCAGAAAATATTGAAAGATATGAGATCATGACAAGCTTGTTATATGGCCTTTAAAGAAATTTCTTGCACAGATGGAAATAGGCCTGGGAAGTATTCCCATGAACTTTTTTTTATTCAGATTGCTGTTTAGATACGAATTAGTAAAATTGAAAATGTTGACTTCAAAGAAACATTCAATTGTGAGATCCCCACTTGTCAGTTCAGAGTGACATCTGCTTCACTTCACAATAGCCTCTTCAGGCGTGTTCAATACTGTCTTAATCTTCACTTACCACATATTCATAATTTGAATTTAATTATGATTTCTACTATACAAATGATGAATTTCAATCATTCATGAAAACATTCAATTGAATACCCATAACAGAAACTACTTGAGCCTATATTGAATATGGAAGAGAATTATGTAATAACTGCCATTGCGATGGCTAACGTAAAATACTATTATTTCATTCATAGAGATCGAGGTCGATCACCTGTTTTTTCGGTGTCGATATTTTTCTAGGTGAAAAAGCGCTGAACTAATTCATGACTATCGAAACTTTAAGCGTCATTGTGAACATGTTCAAATTGGGCTGGACTAAACAAATGAATATATAACATCCTGCCGATAATCATACGGCTAGCGATGCTGGCACGAGGGCTTGGGAGTTTTTGGGAGGGACAGACAGAAAAAGTCAGTTACTGGGGCCCGTTAAAACGAGATCGGTGGTCTCATCTCTCAGCCTTCGAGGCTGAGGAAGGTGGCCCAAATGGGGGAGTTATTTCGTCTAAGCGCGGTGCGAATTCGGTAATGGGTAGAGAAGAGTTTGAAATGAAAGTATTGGTGTTGAAGACCCACTAGTTCAACAGAACCTATGCTTGACCATGAACCACCCAAAGAGGCGTTATGTGAGTTTTTTTTTTTTACTTATCAGTTGATGAGAGAGTTCACCTATTATTTTGTCTGAGTTCACTTCCTATTTGCAAAGAGATTATACAGGGTGTGACTAAATGAGTGTAAAACATTTAGGGAGGTGATTCCTCATCGAAAAAAAGATAGGATCTTTCATATAAAGGAATTTCATTGGAGCATCCCTTAAAGGGGGTACATAAAATTTGTACTCGTAACAATTTTTTTCGCAAGCACGAAAAAAGTCACAATATTGAAATCAACCTGACGTCTTGTACTACCAAAAAGACACTTAGCTAGAAATTTATTTGGTTCACCCCATGGTTGTGAGGGGTGAAAAACGAAACCCCTAAAATAAATTTCCAATGTAACGTTTTTGTCTCATTATTTGTTCACCATAACCTTTTCATTTCCGATAGCCTGTTTCATTCTAAACAAAAAATGTCTCCTGGGTTTTTTGCCCAAAATGAACCAGTTCGCAGCAAAAAATTATTTTAGGAACAACTATAGAGATACATCGTCATAAATGCGAAAATACGAAACTAATCTATCTAGTGGGTCGCTGTTAGCGATAGTGACAATTAAATTGGTATGAAGCTGTCAGTTTGTGAATTTTCGTAATTGAATTGATACTAATTGTGTGTTGTTATTCTTAATTTGTTACTTCAATTATTCACTTATTAAAATGGCATACACAAATGAGGAAATGGCTGATATGCACTACGTTTAAGTTCTGTCGCAGGGGATGGGTTAGAAGCTTCTAGAAGATATGCTGAAATGTATCCCCAATGGCAGCATCCTTCACATAGAATATTTGCTCGACTTCATCAACGANAATTTTTTTTATAATATTTTACACGTTGTTTTAATCATTTTGTTCATGGAGTCATTGTTTTACTCATTATACTTTATTTTTGAAACCTTGGACTTTCAACTTCTCTTGGACTGAAAAATACCATTCTCGTAGAGTAAGATGAAGTTAAGAGAACAAAAACAAATTAGACACTTTTTGTCAATCTACCGAGAAGAGAATAGTAGGTGAAAAGTATTTTAACTAAGAATAAATTCAGTTCTTGAATCACATAATGAGAGAGGATATAAGTAGATATACCAAATGATCAGATTTCAAAAAGAATGGCCCTCGTGCGATCGGCACGAACCCTACAGCCTTTTCGGAATTGCCTAACTTTCAAATTTTTGATGTGGAGAAACAAACACGGCAATAGCGAGAGGGTTACAAAGGATTGACAGTCGAGTATTATTTCACTGGGACAAATATATTTACATAAAAACCCGTAGATGTTCCACTGTTGACAAAACAAGGATCTTACGTAGTTATTACACTGGTGACAGCTAATTGGAATTTCACGAGAATTTTGTTTGTTTGTTTTTGTTATTATCTACCGTTATAACAATTGCTTTTAACTCTTTTTTTTTCTAACAAAAATAATAATAAAATAAAGAATCAGGAATAATTGTTCAGTATTCAAATGAATTTGATTATTTCATTCATTTTTTTCTTGACCATTGACAGAAGCATCAATTATGTAACCGATTCCTGCTGGGCAAGTAGGCAAAATGATCCAGTTTTTACAGGTTCGACCAGATTCTCAACTCATAGATGATGACACATGAGTTTTACTTCAAATATTTCCAATCGCAAGTGAGCCTTGAGGATTTGTCTATTTCAAAATATGTTACACAATGTAGAACTCAATCACTGATTTGACAGTTCGTAATGAATCATATAATTTCTAACAAAAAAGGAAATGAAAACGTGGATTTGAAAAGTGAAACGGAAATACCTCATCAGATATTGTGTTGTATTGAGGATATTCTGAAGTTCCTACATTGATTACAAAATGAAAGTGGTTGGAAACTCAATCAACTTTAGCGCATGCTAATTAGTATAGATCTCCGAGGAGTAACGCTAGGGAGGTTGTTAAGAGTATCCACTCAAGTCTCAAATTATTTAACATAGAATGAAATGACAAAAATATTGGTCATCTTATTTTCAACTATTTCTAATATGTCATATGAAAAAGTATAGTATTCTATTCACGAGATATAGTTTTTACTGGCTTTGATGATTCACGGTGTACGCTCGCGCGGATAAACTTCATTCTCTTGAGTAATGAGTACATTTATTGCTGGTTAGATAATATACTATTAATTAATTCAGAAGTTGCTGATTAGTGTGGATTTCAAGTAAGAAATAATCTGGTTTATATTTCGATAACATGTCAGTTAGGTAGTGGAAATTATCATGATAGGAATTAATAATTACATATAGGTTGAGTTATTCAGTTCCAAACACGCGTGAAGTAGTTATTCTTTTTGAAACACGTGTAGCGGTGTGAACTCTCAAGTGAAACTCCTGCAAGAAAACGTTCATATGTCAGGTAAATTTTACGTATTTTTCATACATTCTTGTTTTTGAAATATTTAGGAAATTTTCAGTCTATTATTAATTTTGTTTCCGATTTCAGATAATAATATAAATAATATTTCAGCCTGTAAAGGAGTGAAGCAGGTTGGAAGCGCAACTTCAGGCGAGAGAGGCATTAATTTTACTCTTATTGCATGCGTAAGTGTTATAGGAAATAGTGTGCCACCCTTATATATATTTCCAAGAGTTAATTATAAGGACTGCATGATTGAAGGTGCGCCTACTGGTGCCATTGGTTCTGCTCACCCTAGCGGCTGGTCCAACAAAACAATTTTTATGCAGTATCTTCACCACTTTGTTGAACATGTGAACTGTTCTTCAAATAATAAGGTGCTCCTAATCCCAGATGATCACGAGAGCCATATAATCCTCAAGGCGAAGAATTTTGCAATAGAAAATGGAATAGTTATGCTCATGCTACCTCACCACACAAGTCTCAAGCTCCAGCCTCTAGACCGAAGCGTATTTGGGCCATACAAGACATATTACAATACAGCATGCGCCGACTGGATGTGTTGCCACCCTGGAAAACCTATTTTCATTTATGATGTGGTCGAAATATCGGGAATAGCCTACCCTTTAGCATTCACACCAATAAACATTCAATCCGGTTTTAGAGTGTCTGGTATTTGACCTCTTAACGGGAATATCTTTCAAAAAACATGAGTTCATGGGATCATCAGTCACTAATCGACCATATGATACACCATCTACATCACAAGGATCCACATATTCACAGCTGGCATCCGCATCCGCAACAAATCTTCCCATAACTGCATCAGATATTCATCCTCCGCTGCTGCATCCCCATCAAACACGACTCCATCCACAAAAAATCAGACTCCATTCACATTACAAACATTTATCTCCCTAGAAAAAAAGGAAAATGCCGAATACTTACGGATACACCAGAAAAACTAGAACTTGAAGCCATTAAAAAAACAGTTAGACGTTGAAGATATTGATGAAATGGATAGCACAGAAGAATGCCAGGATGAATCTACAGGAGTACAAATTTTCGATTTGTCAGTAGGAAATTTCTGTCTCAATGGGAAAAAAAGGATACATTTTTATGTTGCAGAAGTAACTGCTATAAGTCCATGTTTAACGGTGCAATATCTAAAGAGAATTCACACCAGCAACAAATTTTCTGGCCCAAGTGGTCCAACATTTTGGATGTGATATTCAAAACGTTCTGCATTACCTTACACCAAGGTGTCACCCTGGATTGTCAGGAAGACAAAAAGGGATACATGTCTTTGATTTAGACTTTAAGAAGTTCAATGTTGAACAGCAACTATTTTTTGGATTTTTTTTTAAACCGGCTCAAGGTACAAGACAACGTTGTCCATGGTACACTACTGGTTTGTATCTTGGGAGCCGACGAAAATGAAAATCTGAATAGTATGTTCGTTTTTATTTAATTAGAATAAAATCTTGATATAATGTTCTGAGGTATGTAAGCCACGAGTTATCCCAAAAATTTTACGTTGAAATTTAAGAACTTGAATATTATTGAGCCTCAAAAAAATCCGGTTCAAGGTGAAATCTTCTCCCCTTCATGTTGGATCGTCTTTTTTGTCTTTGCACATATTTTTTTTTTCTATATAACCATATAGTTGGATGAGATATGTAATGCCTCATTCCTCATATTGAATATCCCCGAAGATTTTCAATGCAAATATGCATGATGATTCAAATTCGAAGTCCCTGAATAATAATGTTGTCATTGATATGAAATTGATATGAAGATACGAGACATTTTCAAACCTGGATGTGTGAGTAGAAATTGTTAGACATTGACCTCAATGTGAGTTCACAAATGTTGAAAATTGTCTGTAAAACTTAAAATTCGTCCAAACCTCTTAATGTTTTGCTTGAAGTCAACAATTTATCACCAATTTGAAGAAAAAATGGGTTGAAATCAGTTTTTTTCTGGAAATCTAGTAGGTATCATCCTTATACGAACAATAACTTTTCAGAGTCGAAACCTGTGCGATTTAATGATCAAGGACGTTTCATCTTTCAATGTGTAAACGAAAACTGTTTGAAATAATATATACACTATTTCAGTGAGTGAGATGTATATTTGAACATTTCACAACTCAGTGAAGATGAATTGAAGACATATCTTATCAGCTTTGAATATTTTTCAATTTTATTTTCATTATGTTAAGTCCTGACAATTGTACTCGCCATTAAAACAGCAAACATCTCGTTCCAAACAACGAATAATCATATCTTATCAGTATCATTTTTTCAGGAACATGTTACTGAAAATATTTGTTTATTATTCCCAAATAGCCGCCACTCTGATATATCTCGATTCAGTAAAAATAATGTTATTATACTTCAACATCGATCAGCCTTATATCTTTCATTTCAAAATGTGTGATTTATGACTTGTTTACTTCATGGTAATTCATGATCACTTAAATGAAATGAATAAAAAACACTTTTGTCCAAATACCACTGTTGAATTACCGTCACAACATTTTTTTCAAGATATAATGAGAACGTGCTCAAAAATCCTCAGAAAAAGGTGATTTATAGGAAAATGTGTAAAGAACTATTACCAGTGAGATGTAGTATGTGAAATATTTTTGAAAATTTCAATATGCATTTTAAATAATATAAATAGAAATGATGTATCTGAAATGCCTCACATATTATTTATAATTGGGATCATAAAAATAAATAAGATTACTGCTACCATCCACGAATTGAACATTTTTATGATAGATATTCTATTTGGAACAATATATTTGTTATTGGGAATAACATGTCAGTTAGGTAGTGGAAATTATCATGATAGGAATTAATAATTACATATAGGTTGAGTTATTCAGTTCCAAACACGCGTGAAGTAGTTATTCTTTTTGAAACACGTGTAGCGGTGTGAACTCTCAAGTGAAACTCCTGCAAGATAATATCATTTCAATATGGATTTTCATCAAGTTTTTGCCAAATCCACCACCTGAAAATATGTAACATTCAACCTACAATATGTTGGAAACTATATTCTGAGGGTTGTCGTTCGTAGGGGTGCGACAGCTGGTTAACGGAAGAATAGATTTTTAACAGATATTTTATGGAATCGGCCGATAGGTACTTAACAAATATCCATAAAACTTCATTGTGATATTTCCCCTAAACTGTTTTATAGAAAAGCAACACGTTTTTCGCCATACAGTTACTTCCTCAGGCGTCAGGAGTAGAGACACACCTGAAAAAGACATTGGTATGGCGAAAAAGGTGTTTCAATTTTGTTAAACTGTTTGGTGAAAATCTCAAAATGAAGTATTTCTTGAATATGTTGGAAACTGAACAGAGTTCTCAAAGATCCATTAGCCGACTACAGAATATATAAGGAAGCTATGTACTTTCATATTATCGATTCATAGGTGTAGGATTTACTCATTCGAAATTGAAACAGCTGTTACCTGGAAAACTAGTATTAATTTATGAGCTGAAGTATATGCATCGAGATAATTTATGAACTGGGTTTCTCTTCGAGAAGTATGAGTCTCTGAAAAAGAGTGACGGTATTGGAAGGAAACTGATAGTTCTGAATCTCAAACACTTTTCATTCGAATTATATATCCAAAATACTCATGGCTCTAGGTCTACATTTGATTATTTGCTCTTATTTTATTCAGCCTGACAGTACTGGCATTTTGCCAGTGCGCAATACCTAATAATAATGATAATGATCTTTATTCAATCCTTACAGATCACATACAGCATAATATAGGATACGCCAGTTGTAGTGCCCGCGGTGGTAGTGAGCCCGACTCACGATCGGAAGATCGTGAGTTCGATTCCTGCCTCGACCAGATATTTTTCTCGAAAGAATTTATCTGGTTGAAGCTGGGATGATTCTGCAACCGTGTTAGGAATCACATGTTAAAAGGTAAGACCTCGTTAGTCTTTAGCTCGCACAAGTTTCTCAACTTCTGTGTAGACAATATACATTGTATAGGAATAGTCAATAAAAGAAATAAAAATAAAGATAAAAGCAGAGTATAAGAAACATACAAGTTGAAACAACACCCTAAAACTAAAATAATACCCTACTTATCTAATCATGAAAATATGTATAACATTTATATGAGCAAACAAATCTTCATTTTGCATCAAGAAATTCTTTGATCCTGTAGTAACATTTGTCTTGCAAATATACTTTCAATTATGATTTGAATAAATTTTTATTCCGTTGCTCTCTCAGGTTTGCGGGAAGATGATCGAAAAACTTTATACCTCTATATGAGGGGCTTTTTTCATAGAATGATGAGCTGTGTGCAGGAATTCTGATGAGGTCTCCGCTTCTAGTTGGGTAACCATGGCAATGACAAACTGTCTGATACATCTCAACATGTTGCATAAATAACATCATACATTTGAAAACATAAATACATGGAACTGTTAAAATTTTATATTTTTGAAAATATGGTCGACACGATTCAGATTGAAAATGAGTCGAATAATTCTTTTTTGGGAAACAAATATTTTGTTCGAGTTACTGGAGCATCCCCAGATGTTGATGTTATACGATATGTTACAGTAGATTAGAGCATAATATACATTGATGAGTTGATTTTGGTATAGAACATATTTTTCAATTGCAATATAGCATAGTGACCTGTGTTCACTTTTCTGCTTATGGCATCAATATTATTTTCCCAACTCATTCTACTATCTATATAAGTTCCAAGAAATTTCGTAACTTCAGAAAAATGAATAGTGCTATTTAAAAATGTCTGATTTGAATTCAATTTCTTTCTTGATAAATATTATGCTACCACCATGTATATGGTTTTGTCGCGTGAAATGTGTTGCGAGGTTGTATTCGTGAAATTGAACAGTATTCACATTGGAATTATTACACCACGATTCAGAAATACATAATACATCTGGTTTTTCTTCAGATAGGACTAGTTCAAGCTGACTAGTTTTATTTATAATGCATTGAATATTTAAATTAAATGAATGATTTTCAAATTGTCAAAAACTACAGTACCTACTTGTTTAGAAAGCGCGTTTGTTGTAAATTTCAGAATGTTTCGTACGAAATGTAAACTTTTTAACAAGTACTCCTTCCGGCCAATGGGAAGAAGTATAGTAAGTCCTGAAGTTCAACGTCAGCTTCTACTCTATAAGAGTTGAGTCTGCCATGAGAAGTTAATTTTTCGACGTTAAATGAGTGTCATGGTGATTAATTTTCTAGGTATGTTTTTATCCCTTGTTCTGTAGAATCCGGCAAACATTTTACTACGTTCAGCCATAGTCTCCTAGGTGCACCAGTGAAATCTGCTGCCGCTGCGGTACTATTCGTTCCCACTATCACTGATGAGTTTCTGCCATTGTGTCATCGCATATTGTTATTGTTTTTAGGGTTGGTGAAATGTTGAATCTTAGGTTTTGTTCCCATTGTTGAAATTCCGACACTTTTTTGTTGTTCCCTTTCTTTACTGATAACTTTCTCCGAAGATGGATTTGAATCGCTATTATCAAAGATCGTATCGTTGGCTTCGTGAATTTTCTCTTTTTGATTACTTTCATAGTTAGAGAGGAGTTTAATCATATCGATATTAGATTCTCTGAGGATTTTTTTTCCTCTTTCAACTCAGAAA